CAGGAGAGCTCAGAGACAGTCACAGTCAGGTCAGGAGAGCTCAGAGACAGTCACAGTCAGGTCAAGAGAGCTCACAGTCACAACCAGGTCAGGAGAGCTCAGAAAGATGCACATGACTCAGAAACATAGCTTAGCTATCTTCTTCAACCCCACCCACCACACATACACACACACATACACTGGTTCAGGTTCTTTTATGCTAAGGATCTAATCTGCCTTTCCTTTTTGCCCTCATTATTAAGCGTGAGATCACCACCAACCACAGGAGCACATCTCCCTTTATGAATAAGGCCTGGATCATCCCATTCCTTCTCCCATCCAACCAATACAACCAAATCAGATATACAAATCAGGCCTCACTGTCCTGGAAGCACAGAATGGGGCCTGCAGCCACTGAGAAGATCATTAGAAAGAACTTATGAAGGAAAGCTATTTTCAAAGCCCCTTGCCAGTCTGGACACCCCCACACCACCTGGACTGGGCCACGGCATACTCACTGTGATCTGGCTTCAAAAGCCAAAAACCAGCAGCACTTTTGACTTCTGGGGGAGACAATGGTTTGGACTGAGTTCTATTTCTGTTTTTTTCATAAGTCGCTCCTTCTGCTAACAGTCACTCACAAGCAATTTAGTATAGTGGCTGTGTGCGGGGCAGGACAGAAGGCACACACAAGGGAGGCTACCAGTGGGACTGACTCTCTGTCTGGGTCTAGGCTAGAGCTACCCTGGTAGGGCAAAAGTCAAGTAAATCTCAGTCCCCTTGGAGTTAGAAGGGAACTGGGAAGCCAAAGAAACAGAATCTTCAAGTTTTCCTGTCCTCCATCTTGCAGATGTGTAGCAGTTAACACAAGTGTAAAGACATATCTCAACAACGCGGCCCTGCAGCGCAGAGCAGAGCTGACACAAGCCCATATACACCAGTGCAGCTTTCTGCAAGGTGATAAGACACAGATAGCCAGCAAAACGGCAGCTATGAAAAGGCCCCAAGGCCTGAGTCTGCAGCCTGCGTCACACCCGCTTCCCCATATATCATTTGGGACGTCACCTAGCGTGTGGAGCAGGGAGATAAAAAAAGAAAAACTCTCCCTGAAAGTAACAACTTTGCTGATGTGATGTTTTATAAAGCAATTTAATTGTTTAGCTGTCACTTTGAAGATGAATAAAGCCGGACAAACTATGCAGGCCCTCGACGGACACCCCAGCCGAGTGAAAACGCTCGCTGGCGGCCTGCTGTGATTTCAAGTTAACAACTGGCTACTCCGAGGTGGCAACTCGTTTCCGTGAGGTCATCCAGGAGACATCGGTCTAAACAGAGCAGCAGGGGCAAAGCTGGGACTGTGCCGGTGATGGGTAACATCACAAAAACCACGTGTGAGGAAAAACAAAATATTTAAAACAGCCACAAAGATTTTAAAATGCCGCAGAGGTCTCCTATCTGTAAGATTTCTGCAAATGACATATGACATGTGGCCCTAAACATGTGAGTGGATGTCAACCTCTCCCATCATTTTTCTACACAAAGATCATCATTTACTGCCTTCAGCAGAATGCAGCCACTCTGATATTAAACATTCATGCTTGAACATGTCTATTAAGGCCCCCCATCACAGACCCAGAATGCAAGAGAGTAGATAAAACTTTAAACCAGTAAGATCTGGGTCTCCCTCTAAAGGGGAGGAAAGTAAATGCCGGCAAACCTCAGAGGGACACCCGGGACTGCATCATGCGTGCTGCAGAGGACCCATGCTCTTCTACACCAGTTTATTTCCCAAAGCATCTTCAGCAGAAAAGGCCCCTGGGTCCTCCAGTGAGACCAGCTCCTGAGATGGGAATCGCCTTCGAGGCACCAAATAAGGAGCCAAACCTACCAGCAGCACCAGAACCCCCAGGATAGACCACAACATCTCAAATGTGTTTGTCCAATGCATTTACATACACTGTGCAGGGAATAGACAACTACAGCACCTTAATGCCTGCTGGATTAGCCAGAATTCTTTCTTGGAATGCTACAACATTAAGTAAGCAGTGCAAACCCATCCGAATAAGCCTGCAACCGCGTATTCAGAAAAGGTGTAGCCTATTCCAGACATTGCGAGATACATGGCAGGGGAACACGACAGACAGGACACCAGTCCATCAAAGGCCACAAGATTACACTGCAGAAAATTTATAGACCTGAGCTGGTCTATGCAAGTAAATCCTATAACAATAAATTCATGCAGAGTTCCTAAATGTGACATGGTCAGCAGTGCAATACAGTAACAGGAAGACGACACAAGTGAAAAGACAGTCAGAGGGGGTATTACCGTGTTCTGAGGTTGCTGGGGCTGGGCTGCCCATCGTAGACGGAGAGGATGTCGAAGTCCTCCTCCAGAGCGAAGCCCTGGAACACCAGCTGTATCCGATTGTGGTCTTGTGCCAGAACCACCCACGTGCAGTTGGCATAGTTGGGGTAGCCGTACGGGTAACCGGGGCTCTCTATCGTCCCGTTCGGACTGTGTAACGTGTAGCTGCAGTTCTGAGCTGGAAGAGAGAAAGAACAGGGTTTGCGGGGGTCAGAAGGTACCAGATACCGATCGTGCACAGGGATTAAGGTCGCATGGCCCTTAGCATATTCACCATTTAGAAGTAGGGATGTCACCTTCAATCTGAAGAAACATGGGAAACCCCTCCTAACCATCCTCCCTCCCATCCACAACAATAAAGTTTGCTGAGTGGGGGAGGGGGAATTGAAGGATTGTTGATGCGGTCTGAACATACAGTACAGGATAAATCGAGTCTCGTATTGGTTCAAAATGGGATTATTATTTTACAATACGGGACGATCCTGAAACATATGGGACCAGTAGCAACTCTACTTAGAAGAGGTCCCTAAGTGCCGGCCCATGAGATGGTTTTATATGGCCTGCGCCGGGATTATTAAATCAGGCCAGCAGATCGATCTTTAGTTTTCCACAGAAAAGCTTCACTGCCGGCATCCCCCCCTCAGCAAGTGGCTCAGAGAATAGCTGGCTAACGGCAATATTAAACAAAAATATCTCTCAAAATTTACATATCAGCAAACCATTAGCAATTAATTTATTAGATTTTCCCGCCTTGATCCTGATGAGCGTTACCTTACATGTATCCTAGGGGTGTCACTTCTACAGGTAGTAGGGAATTTTAACAGTTACAACGCAGTTGGTTTAAAAATCAGAAACACACTTTGTCCTTTTGCCACTAGGTTACTTTAAATCCACATTGTGCTCTGCGGCACGGCCCCTGGGGGGAGTTGCCGCGGTTATTAACGGCCGCGGTTCCTGCGTCCCCACAGCCCCGTTCCTTGCCACCTTAATTGCACTTCTCTTTCGCATACTTGTCGGTGGCCACTCATAAAACACTGCATTCAATCTGAAATTTTAATAACTGCGTGGCACAATCCATCAGAAGGAAGTTAAATTACTTATCTGGCTGGATTTCCGCGAGGACTTTTAATTAATTGCTCGTTTTCTCGCCCACCCCCACCCCAGATACCGCGCCACTGCAATATATTTCCCTCTCTCTCTGGCACAGGAAACCTGAGCAGACTTACAGCCCAGACTGTTTACGGTTAAATAATAACAGCTCTAATTCTAGTCCTTCTGCCCCCCCACCCCCCGCCCTCTCCCCTCACCTCTCCACATCACTCCAGTCTTCTTTTACTCCCACATTAAATCAGAAAACAAGGCAGGTTACACAGTTTAGCCCTGGGCCTAGACAAATGTGTGAACCCCACTGGCAGAGGTGGGCTCTGCACACGGCCTTGTTCAAGGGGGAAGCTCGATAATAATCTTAATGCATAAACAAAGGAGATGTGCAAATGTTAATGAAGTAAAGCCTTAATTATACGCCAGTGACAACAAATTAAACACTGCTTCATGGTGTTTGCACTCCAACTGGCGCAAACCGCTGCAGCAAGAATCTTCCTGGGGAGCAAGCAGAGAGGACACGCTATACCTGTTCAGGCGTGGGCCTGCCGGCTGTCGTTATAACATCCGACTGACAACAGCTCCTCTCTGAACCCATACAGCAGAAAATCAGCCCGCACAGAGCTGCTGAAAATAGCTAATCAACTCCTTCTGAAAACCTTCTAGAACTGCAAGATGCAATTTCAGTGCTATGATCACTCACGGTAAAATTTAAAAATCATAATTTCATGAGTCACATGGTGGGTAGTGTTATTTTAAGTTATTTATCAAGCTTAATTGTTCCGACTTCAATATGCAACATGCAGCCAAAATTTAGACGTAATTTATAGATTACAGCATGTAGTGCAGCAGTTAAAGGTCTGACAGCCAGAGGTTTCCTGGTTCTGACCCAAAATAGCTGCACCGGAGGCAATTAAGTTGAATTGCTTCTGTAAAACATCCTATTCTACATCTATAAATGCATAACTTTGGAGCTGTATGCCGTGGTGTTTGCCATTTAAGGCTTCAGCTAATTGTCATCCCCAGTACTGCATTAACAATATATGTTTACATATTTTTATTTATAAAGTATGGATTTTTTTCTTCTCAGCTGTGGCTGTGCCTTGTAGCCGTTTAATTGCGAACAAGCAGCCCCTAAATGGCAGATCAATCCGTCGAGTCATTGTCGCTGGAGGCATCAAGACAATTCTGCAGATCTCCCCCAATCGATGGGCTCTAAAGCCCAGACAGGCTAACGCCAAGTTTAATGCAGAGCGCACCATCACTGAGCTCACACACGCAAGTGTGGAAGGACAACCATAGAAAGGCACACACGGCACAGTCAGGTGAGGTCCTCCAACACAGGAATCCCTATTCTACTGGAAACAGCGATTTACAGCTGGTCATGGATGACAGTCGGTAACCTACAGATAGGCCACACCCAGGTAGGGTGGCAAGCCTTCTTCAGATGTAGATCTGAAACAGGTGATAAGTGCTTCCGGAAGATGCAGGACACCAGTTCATCAAAAACAATAGATCTTTGATCTTCAAAAGCAGGGTTGGGAGGTTTTGTGGTTTAGCTGGAACATAGTGGAGAACTTTGTGTCCAGCAGCACCACAGTTCCTCGAGTGGGACCCCCCTGGCCTCCCTGGGCCGTGTTTGCTGCTCTGTTCTGGTAATGGGCTGCGGCACATGGGTCCCTGGTGGAGAACCTGCCAGAACATTAAGTGCCCTCCTACACAATGACAGCCTCTTTGTAAGGCTCTGTTGTCTTCCTGAATTTCAATGCTGGGTGATTAAAATATAATTAGGGATACATAATTGGAGGACATCTGCTATCAGCATAACCCATATAAAAAACACTCACAAAAAAAACAAACAAGCAGGAAAATTGCATTTTGTCATTCTTGCATTGTGAATATTATGAATAAATATTTCCTCATGCAATACTGTAATTGAATTAGCAGCAGGAGGTTGTTTGCACTCTATTACGGCGCAGCACATAAAGACACACACAGACATCTTGTGCTTTGATGAATATGCATTTTTAGGTGACACTTTTTCATAGGACTGACAAAGCACGATGCAAACCCATTCACTTTCCAAGGTTTTGCACAGAAAAGTGCAAAATCACAAATGTAATGTCGTACCTGTTTCATGAAGTCCTATAAATAATAATAAAATGATATTTTCCTGATGTTATGAAGACTACCGAGTTCACAGACAATAAATCAAGTTGTAATTTGCAGCTAAACAAGCTGCAAAGTAAAATGTGAAAACAGTTCAGAGGGGTCGGGAGAAGTTCAAGAAGCCAGTTTCCCTTGACGATTCCTCCTCTAGCACCTCATCAAACTGAAATGTTGAAATCATCTGTGGAGCGTCACAGCATAAGTCGTTCTGAAACGCGTATGCACTTGGGAGAAACAGATCCTGAGACACTTTTCCAGGGTAAATACAAAACTAGAGAATTTAAAGCTGCTAGATGCAGACTTTTCAGTCAAGTAACATTACGTTTATTTTTCTTTTTTTTTTTACAGCTGCCCTAGATCTTTCAGGGCACCCCGGCCAGCGTCACATGATCTGAGACTGGTTTCCTGAAAGCAATCCAATCAGGCCTGTACGGGGTCTACAAAGTTGCTTTAGGCTCCTTTATGTTTAAAGCTCAGCCTCTGTCAGGTACAGTACTCCGGACGGTAAGAACTCTTCACTTTCCCGAAATTACAGCTCCCAAGGGTTTAAACATCAGCCACCCATTGGGAATTCAGTAATCAACTGAGATTGAACTCAGCAACAAACAACAAAACTAACATACAATTCCTTCAGACACCCTACCCCCTGGGAGGCGAAATTAATTTGTGAACGGTTGACACTAGCTAGGAGTGAGATGAATCTGTCTCCATAATCATTTTCAAAACTTTCTAAAAAGGTTCACAAAGACCGGCAATACCTTCATTCCTCAAAAAGAGAGTAGAAGCTCTGTTCAGTGACATTAATATTGATGTGGAATGTACTGCATGTAGCATCCTAGTTCTTTGTACTTGCGTATACCCTTAAAATGATGTTGAATAACGACTTACGAACATTTCAAGTTTCGAACGACCATTCGGAACGCATCTCTTTCGTACGTAGAAGACCATCTGTATTCAGCAGCTAAACTACAAAACCTTGCCATGCTAACACCCAGTCAGAAAGGAGGGCTCAAGCAGACAAAGTGGCAAGATATTAGGATGGGAAAACTGACACTTGTAGAGAATCAATAGAGTCTGACGACAATCCTAGAGAGCCATTAGACTGCATTAGACCTTCATGTTACTTATCCTTTGGCACTGGTGTCTTACAGCACAGAATAAATCCCATACTGCAGGAGAAAGGTCAATATTAATCATATTCATGAGGGCTGGGAGAGAAGCCCCTAGTAGTGAAGGTCCTCAACATGCCTGGACCATTACTACTGAAGATCTTCCCAGACTAAGAGCAATTCATCACAATGGACAGATCATTTCTTCCAGATGTGAGTTGGGATAAGGTGGCAAAATTCCCTTAATGCCTTAATCCTTCTGGCCTTGAAGTACTGGGATGAAGGTGCTGCATTAATTTATGCATCATGATGACAGAAAGCTGCAGCAGACTGAAGACCAGGGCAAGTTGGAGGACCATGGGATGCAAAAGCAGGGCATGCATTGCGTGCTGGGTGTGATTAGCTGCTGGGCTAATCTCCATAGGACACCTCAATGGCTCATTGGCTGTTCAAATTTTGCACCACATGATATGTTAAGGGCAGCGGCGATAATCATGTTCCACAGCATTCTAAGAACCTGAGATGGGGGGTGTTCCTTACCTACCAAGTGCTGTCACCTGTAGCACTTACAGTGGCAGCTAAGGAAGTGCTAAATCCCCTGTCGTCTTTCTGGCCTAATTAAGATTTGTCGTTTTTAAGCGATCTACTTTTCACATCCATGCACAGCTGCATAAAAAAAACTGAAGTCCCACGGTTCATTAGGATTGCGCAGGAAACAACAGCCAGTCATCTGGCTTCCAGAAGTAGGACAACACGCTGCAATGGCCACCCATTTAGCTTTCATTCCAAAGCAGGAAGA